AACAGGCCAGAAATAGCCTGTTCCGAAACCCAGTTTTCGTGCCTGAATCTTAGGGCAGGTCGAAACAAATGAGGGCCTAAAAATCGCCCAGGGCCTAAGAATAGCCCTCCATTTCAGGCTGGAAAAACTTTGGGTCTGAAAGCCCCAGAAATAGGCTGAATCGGAGTAGGGCCTGCAGGCCCTCGTTTTTCAGTTTGCAGGCTGAAACGACCGGGGCCTGTAGCTCCTAAGTTTTAGGCTTTTAGGCTGAATGTCCGGGACGGGTCCTACAGGGCCCATGTGGCTACGCAGTATGCCACACGAGCAGCAAGGGAGCAAGGTTCAGCGGAAAGCGGATTAGCGCAGCACTGGGCGCCTCGTCAGTTACCAGCCCAGCCCCCCTTTGCAGCGCTATAGCCAGGTACCAGGGAGGAAGGCTTCGCCTTCTCTCCCTCCTTCCTCTACCGCTTCTCTCTCTCTCTCTCTCCTCCTACCTTCTAAGTCTACTTCTACTTCTCCTACAGATCTACTACCGTATGGGAGATGGTTACAAGTTCTGATGACATCTGAGACAGCGACATTGGGACTACGTGTTGAGGACTATATGGGAATCTGATTTCATCTTCCTTCCGGAGGTGTACTTGACATTGTGAGATCGACATCTGGGATATTGTGAGACTTGTCATTCGCGACATTTCGGATTTTCGTCACTTCTGACAGTTCAAGATACTATCTTTGGAACATTGAGTTGACGTCATCTTCCCTCTCCTCCTCCTTCGTCTCTCTCCTCTCTTCCTTCGTCCGTGTATGATCTCAGCCCCTGGCCCTTCGTCTATAACTCGAGGCCAGGGCATTCACACCCTGATGAATGTTTGAGAGTGTTCAATTGCAGTCCAAGTCAGGCCTGAGTTAGTCCAAGGTATGTCAAGTCTTCCGCTTGCATTTGTATTAACTCTGTATTATCTGGTCGGTTTTGGGAATCTGCGCCATACTTATGACTGTGTTTCACGAGTATGCAACAGTTTGGTATCGGAGCAGACCAGCATTGGATGACTCACCGTTAGTTGGTTGATTGATTGATTGATTGATTGCTTGATTGATTGATTGATTATCTATACCTGCACTCTGTTATCATTAAAATCGCAAGTTGCAAGTTTTTTTTTTTCTGTTCTCGTACTTTCATGGTTAATTAGGTCGCAAGTTGCAAATTAGCGCAAGTTGCAAATTATTTTAGTTTTGCGACACTTCTCTATATCGCACAATTAGGAAATCGCTAATTACGAGTAAACCTAATTAGCGCTAATTAGGGTTAGTCCTAACCTAATCGAAACGACATACCTAACCTATCGGAAGTAAGTGCCAGCCAGGCACCGCGCCAATCAAGGCTGATCGGGCCTGAGCAAGGCCATATTCGAACTGCAACTTCACGGAACTTTCACTTTTTGCAAACTGCATCTTTTTTTTGCGCTTGAAAGGTTGAATCTTTCCAGCAAATTGTGTATCTTCCTGCTACCATTCATCTCTACTAAACGAGTGACCTCGTGATGATGCTAAATTCTGCCGACGAAATTTCGTGAAAAATTTTGAAAGTTATGTGTAAATGTTTAAACTTGCTTAAACTTATTCATTTCTTTTATTGATGCAAATTTTAATATTCTTGATTAAATATTTAACATTTGTGAAATTCATTATTGCAAATGTAAATATTCATTAATCAAGTATTTAGTATTTACTATTTAATCTTTTGCCAAAATTAAAATTTTATTAATTCCTATTTTTCGATTAAAATTTTATTTAATTTCCCAAATTCGAAAATTCATCGGGGGCAGGGAAATTTTTTCTCTTGATTAGTGTCAAGGTTAGGGTGGAACGGGACTGTCTGTGCATTGCTTGCCTGCCCCTCCCTTCTTCCCACCCCTACCTTCTCTTTCCTCCTCTCGGACCTACGGACTGCAGTCTCCGGACATGTTAGCAGAGTGACACATCAGCAAAGTGCCACGTCAGCAGAGTGCCACGTCAGCACAGTGACACGTCAGCAGAGTGACACGTCAGCAAAGTGCCACGTCAGCAGAGTGCCAC